GCAGATTTAAAAAGCGTTATTAATTTTTGTTTAATTCTATGAAAAGGAAAGTTTGTGATTTTAGGCAGAAAGGATCAACAGCCAATGGATCGAATATGTAAAGGAAAGCGCTGATACTGCGAATAAACGCACAGACTTTTCAAAAGAACGGCATTTCGATCAGACGCTTAGCTGGGAGCAGTTCAGTGGTGCATTTATGCCCCCTGAGAAGCAAAAGGCACCGGCTTGGACAAGAAATGACTACCAACAGTATAAGGCATTGGTTGGTCGATTGAGTAAAATCGCCGACTACGCAGCCACCAAAAGAGTACCCGTCATGATAGACGCTGAACAGACGTACTTTCAGGCAGCGATCGACTATTTGTCGTATTCGCTTATGCGTATATACAATAGAGAAATGCCTCTCATCATACCAACGTATCAGGCGTACCTGAAGAATGCGATGAAGCGTGTGAAGACTGGCCTGAACCTGTCGCGGATATGGAACTATTATTTCGCAGCAAAATTGGTAAGGGGAGCTTACATGGACACGGAACGCGCTCGGGCCAAAGAACTGAACTACGAAGACCCGATAAATGAATCTTACGAGGCAACAAATCAAATGTACAATTCAATAATCAATGTGTTATTTCAGGTATTACGATGAGTCGATTCACGTGTTTTAACGACTTGAAACTTGAAAGAGCACATCATTTTTGAGAAAAAAGTTATTTAAAAGTACCCGATGCGTCTAGAAATAAGACGCTAATTGCCATGCAAATCAGGGTGACTGAGAAGCATTTGTTGTTATTACAAACAGTCAAAAATGATTTTAGCAAAAATTAAGATATAAGTATTATTGATTAAATCATTGCTGTTCAACAGTTTTACGAGATCTACCAGCTTAGAAATAAGTAAACATAGGTGAAGAAGTAGGGTTTGAAAGCTACACTCGTGCCGAAGTAATAGAAAGGCGTATCATCACATTGGAGAATAGATAATTAACCAATGAAAATGGAATGATGCCCCTTTCAAAAATACAATAATCTAGACGTACCAAAGAGTTAAATCTAACATTAGTTTGAAAAATTCAGTTTTAATTTAATTTGTAATATCAAATGCAAAAAAATGAACTGATCCGCCAAAAGTAAGTCGATACACGCACCACTCCACCAAATCGTGTTTCAGAAGTTATGCTAGTGACACTGCTGCTCGTAAATACTTAGGTGGCATTTAAGCTGACCATTCGCTATGTGCCTTCGCCTTTGCTATTCAACGTTGTTCTGGACTTTTTCTATGAAATAGAGCTAATCCTTGAAAAGATGAAGATTTCACTTTAGAAGGCGCCATTCAAGAAATCTGGCTAGATGTCTTACTGACGTGGATACTATCATGGTTAATAGTACGGGGAATGTTCTCTGTCACCTGAGAGCGTCCGTATGTAACAGCCATGACAGCGACCACTCTATCATATCGCCCGGAAGTCAGAAGTTATGAGGAATCCATGAGATACGGCCGCTCTTCCAGTGGATCAGAGAGAGAAGCCACCCAGGAAGGTGACCAGTTTAAATATCTCAGCTTCACCAGCTCCAGCGATAGCCCTATCCAAACAGAAGTTAACAGAAGGACCGCTCTCAGATCTAATGCTTGTCATAACCTGCCGAATATACGGGCGTTGAAAGTGATAACCCTTTACTCAAAACTGCGGCACGGAGAGAGTTGTTCGGACGAGTGAACAAGAATAACAATTGACCCACAAACAGCAACGTTGGCTTCGATGCATAAAGACGGTTAAATGGCAGGGC